GAAGGAAGGTTGGGCAATCCTACTTCTGTAGTGATAAGGCCTCGGAAACCCAAGGAGGGGTTGCTATGAGTCGGGTTTGACTTGACGGCACATAACAACAACAACATTTTAGTTGGTAAGTAAAAGGGCTTCCACCACTTCCTTTGGCTGCCTCAAAGCCTCACAGAACACTCCTTTAGAAGAGAATTTTCCTGACTTCAACACTACCTTTGGTAGTTCTATCTTCAAAGATCACTCAAGACAGTTCCTCTCTCCTTGCTCTTAGGGAGGACCACAGATGCTCAGAGTGCCCCTTGTTCTAAAGTTCTTCAAGTACTGTGGCTTGCAATTCTGATTATGCCTTTTCCCTAAATCCAGGGAAAAACTATGATAAAGGATAGTATTTTCTCAATTAAATTTTTTTTTTTTTTCGTAAATTAAAAAATAAAAAAACCTTGGTGAGCCTTTTACTGTTTGCCCACTGGGGAGTTAATAAAAGTGAATGAATAACAAATGAGTCTAATTGGAAAAAACTACAAAACCTGATTTCTTAAAATTATTTTATGTATTATATTTCAGATGAGGCTGCATATATGCATGTAATAAAAATATCTTCTCTATTAATAAATTCCTAATTTCTGTGCTGGAGTTAATGGTATCAGTATTTTCTGGTTTATTGCAGAGAACACCATGTCTTTCTGGTTGATGAGATCTGGGTAAATCATTAATGGAGTATGGAGGGAAGGAAGTTCATGGCTCAGCTCTATCCAAGGATTCCTACTCTCATCTTCCTGTCAAAATCTATCAATACCAACACTGAGCCCATGAGTTCTGAGATGACAAGCTACCTACTTTATTCCATTCTAGGTATCAACTTTGTTGAATTCATCCAAGATGAGCCTGCAGATCATATTCAGGGTCTGGGTTGCTTCCCACAGTCCTGTAAGGTGGCTTATACCTGGGCCTTATCAGCCTAGGACACCCTATGGGGCAGTTCTACTCTGTCCAACAGGGTCACTATGAGTCTTGTTTTCCTCTGAGAGAAACAGCCCAGAATGGAGGCGTACTTAACTATGTTCTACTGGATTCATACAATGGTGTTAGGAAACGAGGCCAAGCAAACCAGCAGGCCTATTTTACCAACACAGAACTATGATTCCCAGACTATGACTTTCAAAGGTGAGTTAGGCTCTTCCAGCCACCATCGCAGTGCTCCATAAATTGTCTCCCAAGAATGCAGAACACTTAATCATCACTAATCACACAATCTTTCTTTTTTTTGACCTTTCATTTAGAAATAATTTCAAATATATCAGAAAGTTACAAGAATATAAATAGTATAAGGAAATATCATATACACTATACCCAGATCTACGCCATCAACATTTTGTCAACTTTTCACCCCATCTGCTCTCTGGTGGTACAGTGCCTAAGGCATTTGACTACTAACCAGAAGGTTGGTGGTTCAAACCTACCAGCCACTCTGTGGAAGGAAGACAGGGTAATCTAGTTTCCTAAAGATTTACTACCTTGGAAACCCAGTGGGGGTCACTAAGAGTTGGAATCAACTCGATGGCTTGGGTGGTGGTGGTGCTCTATCATTTGCATTCTCTTTCTCTCTTCCCCCACCCCCACAATATTTCTTTTCTGAGTAATTTGAGAGTAAATTGCATACATCATGGCCCTTTATAACCTAACACTTAAATGTTTCTAAGAATTAAGGATATTTTCATATGTAACCACAGTATAGTTACCAACTTCAGTAATATAGATACTATCTGTATTCTAAATGTGTAGATTAGCCTGATAATGTCTTTCACAACCCCCTCATTTTTTTTAAAGTACAGGATCAGGTTTTGGCCTCTTTGCAACACAATGCAACCACTGCCTTGGAGTCGGATCTGACTCATAGTGACCCTTCCTTGAGTTTCTGAGGCGATACCACCATGGAAGTAGATTGCCCAACCTTCCTTCCGAGGAGCGGCTGGTGGGTTTGAACTGCCAGCCTTCTGGTTAGCAGTCAAATGCCTTAGGCACTATGCTACCAGAGCTCCTTTGTTGTTG